GATCGCTGGTAGACGCCGGTAGATCGCTGCTAGATCTCTGGTAGATCTCTGGTCGATCGTTGGTAGATGGCTAAAAGCTCGGCAGACTCTTGTTCATGTACGTAGACGCTGTGTAGAGGCTTTTAGAAAAGGGAAATCGTAGAGAGGGCGCTGTTTCGTTTTTCTCGTCGCAGCCCGCGGCTGCCAAGAATGCCACTTTCTCCGAGGTAACGTTGTAAGTGCAGCACATTTTCAAAAAATAGGAAAACATCGATCCACGCCGTGTCACGGTGAACTTTGTTCCACGAGTATGGGAATCGCGTTATCAAAGATTTAACTTCCTCCCTGTATTCAGTTGGATAATATCTCAACGTAGTCCGATGGATATTCCCGAGCAAATTCGGCGAAGGTAATCCTAAAAAGGAAATCCTCCGTGGCAGACTCTTTTGGAACCAGGTTCCCAATGTCTAGACGCACTTTCGTGTCTCATCTGCCCAAGGCGTCGTCGTCGTCGTCGTCGTCGTCGTCATCGTCGTCGGAATTCCTCGCTCGGAGGCAAAACTGAAATTTCCTCCGACTACGAGGCTGCACCAAAACTCCATTCCCCTTTTTCCACTGTCCGGGTCGCGAGTCGTCTGACGGGTAGAGAGAGGGAGTAGGAAAGTTTCGAACGCAGCCTCGAGGTGGCAAGCAACGGGATCCCGGATGATTGATAGGAACGGGCAGCGTTGCAACTCGTATCGCCGTTCTAGGGCAGAAATATCACCTGGCTGGGATAAAATTCGCGTTCACCCGCGATTCAAGCGTCCGCCTGCGATTCAGATGCAAATGCAAAAGGCACACCCGTTGCCGCTAACTTTTAAAGACTTTCTCGTACTGCCGTGTCGCTGGCGCGGTCATGGTGTGACACACAGCAGCCGAGGGATCGATGCAGCGGCTTTCGATCTTCCCCGTGTATCTCCATTCCAATTACGCGAATTTATCCGTGGAAAATTTTTCCCACTCGGCGCGCGAAATTTGACAGGGGAATTAAGCGTGCTTATGATCCAGGCTCCAGTGGATTACGAGGGATTAAGATAAAAGCATTCGTAACATCGCTACACTCGTATCATACGCGAACGATTCGTTCGTGAAAATAATCCAAATTGATCATTCCCATTTTTCTCCTTTTTTCCTCATTTTTTCCACATTTTCTATTTTCCATAATTCTGCCCGTTGACCGTCTTCATTGACTCCTTTCCGTTAACTCGAACGGAGTCGAGATCGAGTTTGTTCTCGGAAACGGATTATTGACATTGGCATTTTTCTGTTTATATAGACTATCGTGCTCGTTAATGGCTGCCAGGGTCGTCGGCTAGAGGCCGTTTAGCGAAGTTTCGAGCTGCCAGTGCGATAACACAGCCCGTAACCGATGAGTGTAAGTATGGATCGATCGCCTCGGCCCGATATTCATTCCCGATCCACGGAATCTCGTTATTCGAGTAACGTCCAGGTTTTTATCCTCGTTGATCGCGGTTCGTCGACCTGTACCGGGCTCATTGTTAGACGTCGCGTCGCATATTTCCGCGCGCGTGACGCCAGAAGCTTCGTACGATCCTTTCCCGATCTACCGATCTCGTCGCGTACGTTTTCCAATTTTTCCCCCCGTCCCGCCCTCCTTTCCCCTCGTTTTCTCCTTTTTCCCCTTTTTCTCGCACCTTTTTCCCTCGACGTGGCGTAACGAGGAAGGCACGCGCATGGTAGCACGATAAAACGCGAAACTCAGCCGTGTGTTGGCGCGAATGGAGTCGGCGTATCGAATTAAAAGCGACCGGTCGAATTAAGTCTAATAAAACTCGGCCGGTTCTGCGTCCGAAGCGCGCTCATTTAGCTCGGTTAAATGATCGGATTCAGCGATGCCACGCAAGCCCGCATAAGCAGCACGTAAATTAATTAGAACGATCTTGGAACGGTTACGTCACGCGACGACGCAGTATCGTGCGATACGGAATAATCGTGAAAAAGTGTAGGAAAACAGTTGGGGAAAAAATGGCGCAAGATAGCATCGGGTGATCCTTGGCGTAGATATCGCGTTTGACTAGCATGACCAATCGCATCGGAAAAAGCCATTTGTCACTGAAACGTTGTCTTCGAACAGGTTAGATCGGCAGGCGGCCACATGGTGAAGCAGAGGAGGTTCATCGGGAACACGAACAACAAGATGATCAACATACGAGAATATTTATAGGTGTTTTTAGGTGAGACCACGACGGAATACGTTACACGTGTCTATATCCCGTGTCCAGGATCGGTGAACGAGAAGCGTGCTCGCGGATCGATCTGCATGCCGCTGAAGGAGAGCACAACAGGGCCCCGTAGCAACGACGACGCAACCGGTCACGTTTCGATAGCCGACAAATTGTAAAACGTGTATGCTGGCCAGGTATCCGGAGTGAATGTAAAATAAACGATCACCGATAGATTTCAGAGGAGTACAGGAACGGCGTGTAGTCACGCGTCCGTCTAGCTATGGTCAGCCTCTGCGACGACGACGACGACCTGATTTCCTGTTTTTACGTAACCCCCGCGAGATGTTTGATTTTCACGCGCAGGTAAGTGGGCCGTCTTGGCTGTTCGTTCTGACCGCCTTCCCGGCATCGGCTAACGAATAATTCATGTCTATGTCGTTTCAGATCCGATTTATCGAGTGTTCGTACGAGGAGCGAATCTAAAAAGGCATTCGTGCGAGCGTGTTAGAGATAAAGTACGCGAAGGAAAATAGAGGAGGAACGAGGGAAACATGAGTTCCCTGTAACACGCTCTCGTAGAAAGAGATCGCGCGATTCGATACAGCTCTGCCTTGTGTGCGTGTACACGTTCACGTATCTACTGCCAGTGAGTTCGTGCTTCGTTAGACAGGTACATCCATCGGGATACTTTCTAATGCTACGCCTCCAGTCGTATATACGTGGAAAAGGGATTTTTCGTACGTTTCTCGCCTTCTCTCTCTTTCTCTCTCTCTCCCTCTCTCTCTGCCTCTCGTTTGTCGCCGGTCAATCGCGATTCGCGGTGAAAGTGGCCTCTCAACGAACGATTACGTACCTGTAACGTTCGTCCTCGCGCGATCCGCACGCCACGGTGGAAAATTTATGGCCTCTAGACGAGAGAATGGCGAGAAGCGTCGCGTTGTTCCTTTTTTAACCGATTCTATCGCTGGTTATAATTCTTTTCTCGGGAAAGTGACGGAAATGTAATCTAGAAAGCGATCTAGCTAAAGGTCAGAGCGGGACTGGCCGTCGATACGATCATTATTTTCGCGATATCCATTCAGGCCGGTCTAGGTTTGCACCTTTTGCTTCGAATTGGAATTTCAACGACGCGAGACTCGCGGAATTTTCGATCGATCGAGAATCCGACTGGGAAATGGATATTTGGAATAGCGAAGAGTAAAAGACGCGAAGAAATATACGCGAGGGATATACCCGTTCATATTTCATGCACGAGATACCATTGCGAATGGTGTTCCATCGCAATATGCTTTCGAAGCAAATGGTAAGAGACCTTCCGCTAAATATTGGTTAACGTCGAGCTTATCCAAAGGCACTTTATCATCGTTTAGCGACGATTCTATTCCAACTTACGAACGTCATTCCGAGCTCTCCTCGCTGGACTGCCTCTTTCGAAACGCGCCATTCGTGCCATTCGACCATTCCACGTCCGCGCGACATTATTTCGTATTATTCACCTACGATTTGTCTCGATCGCACGTCGCTAATGCACCGTCTTCTTCTTTCCAGGTTTTTCTTAGGTTTTCAGCGATTCTAGTAGTCTCAAAGAGATAGAGGACAAGCCAAAGTAAACCAGTGATATTTTTTATGCAGTATTTTCCTTCCATTATTGCGAGCGAAATAAAGCTAAGGGAAAAGAGAGTGGAAGTGTTGGACGAGTCGTAGCTGGAGAAATATAAAGAAAGGATAAAGAGAAATCGATCTATCGAACGAATTTTGAACAACCAGAGAGATTTTTATTATTTTCTCTACGACTCGAGCGCCGACATCGGCAGGTTTCCTTCAAAATGGTAAGTACCACGAAGCATCACTGTCAAAGTGCAACACTTGGCTCATTTATTCGTAAATTTCGCGTCGTTTCGAAAGCGCATTGTCTCGACTTCGCTTTAGAGACGAACGTTACTCTTCCTCGAGACAAAATCAGACAGTGTTCCCCTCGTGCTTTCGTGTCGCGACGCGTAAGCGCGTGGTAAGCCAAATGGGAAGGAAAAAAGGGAAAAATGGGAAAGAAAAGGAGGAAAAAGGGAGGTAATAATCGTGGTAGAGAGAGTCACGAGGCTTTCATTGAAGCGCTTAATTTATATCAGCGTGGTAGACGGTGTGCTGGCAGCTACACAATTGTTTGGCTGCACGGATGCCTACGCATCTCGACTCGGTCCATCGCGCTTAATTATAATTAATGAATTCTCCCGTACCGTGCATGGATTTATTTTCGTTCCGTTATAGTCGTTTTCGCGTAACCATTTGAAAAAAAAAAAAAAAAAAAAATAAGCCGGGAAACAGAGAAAATATTCGCGAAGCGTTCATCGTTCCTTTTCATCGCTTGATCGCAGTCGATCGATCCTCGGAACTCGACCGGTCAAACGTGGAGCAGAAAAATAGGAAAACAACGTTCCAAACGAATCCACCGGACGGCACGAGATTTGCTCGTTGAAACTTATGAACGCGTTTATAGCTCGTTCGTGACTCGTCGCTTCCGGTTGATTCATTGGTTAATTCGCGTGACCACGGAATTCCGCTGTAGATTCCGCTTATTACCGGAATAGAACGTCTTATCTATTTCTCTGCCAAGAACGTTACAGCTAATAGAATATCCTAGAGAAGGCGGATAATCGAGTTGAAGTTGTTGGCGCTAGCGACTGGTCGCAGGGGGCGCGCACACAGGAAGAACACTCACGTCTGGACCAAGTGGACGAAGGTTCTCGATTACGATGCTCGTTACGTATCGATAACCGGGGGCAAAGTTTTCGTCCTCTGCGATTCTCCTCCGAGGCTTAAACGATTTATACGAATCAGCGTGGTGCAGACACTGACGATCAATTTGTTACGTTATAGGATGAGGCATGATCGACGTAGCGCATTTATTACTCGGACAACAAAGTTCCTCCGTTACTACCGAGAATAACATTCGGGCTAAACTAGGTTAACATCCGACAGCCTCGAGCAAACGTGTATTTACTCCAGAATGAAATATCCAGTTAACGCAGCGTCTAGCGCCACGTGTTTAAAAAGCAACATCCACGGCGCCATCGTTGTTGGCGAGTTTCGTTGTATTCCAGCGAAACGGGCGCGAAAACATGGCGCAAGAAAAGCGGCGCACCGACGAGCAGCGAGAACCGTGCTTATTCCTTTATCCCCGTCAGCCCATTGGGAACGGCCGTTCCGCGGAGAAAAGAAGAAACCCGCGACAATAATACTGAGGAAATGAGGGTGACCCGGATCCGAAACGCAAATGAAGCCGCACCCGAACGGCCGCTGAACACGCGACCACGTGGAAAACTCGCGCGTGTCAGCGGTTTTCCATATCTCTGGTGGCGGCCTCTCGCATTTTCCGGCGTCGCTGCGAGCACGATTAACCTCGCTGCCCGAACTCTCCACCGACGAAGAATAATTAGCGGCCACACCGGTCCGCGGGACCCGTATTAATCGGTTCGGAAATAATAGATGCGGCAATGGCGATTAAGCAGGAGCGAAAAAGACGCGCGTACGCGAGCCACGATAATGTCGTTTAATTAGCGAGCACACGCTGGCCGCGTGACGAGGTTACACCGCGAGCGAGGTTGGAAACGCACGATGGCCAGTCGGGTGAAAACCTTCCAATTTGTCGTGGAATTTGTTTCGTTCTAGATATGCTTGTTTCAGTCGTCTGCGTTCTGTATTGTGCCCCGTCATGCTCCGCGCCGTACTCCATATGCAGCTTGTATGGTGACTGATTGGATTCGAAGTACGATCCGTCGTTTGTTGCGATTCACTCCCCGGTTGATGGATTCCCCTTTTTTCTCGTGTTTGCGATTTCAAAATAGTCGATACGATTTCAAAAGGTTTTTTCGATCTTTACAGCGCGACGCCTTTCAACTTTTCCTTTTATTTCCACTTTTATTTTCCATGTCCATCTCCAATGCAGCCGAAAACGCGGATGTCACGGATCGGGACACGCGAAATTGTTTTCGGTAACTGACACCTTCTAATAGCCGACTAAACGCTCGATAGATGCTGTTTCTCCGTCGCGTACGCGTTTCGTTCGATTTAAAAAGAGGAGAAAAAAGATGAAAAAGTGTTGAATAGCGAGCGATGATCTAGCCACGTTCCACGTTCGCGAGCCTCTATCAGTGATCTATAGCGTCGTTAGACATCTCCGTGGCGCGTGGGCACGATCTATATTCGTAACGCGGCGTTTCGAACATCGAACACGGCTAATCAATTTATAGAACAATGTCGTTAAATTCAGATTTGGGCTGCGATTCAATTTCCGACGTTCCGAGTAATACGCCGTACCTCGGGTTCTCGTTGCTGCCCTTGTATCAGTCCGAAAATATCGACGAACGGCTGGACACGGGATGAGCTGGTGGATCGTGATCAAACGCGGAACAAGGGACGGGAACCGACTATGCTCCGACCCGTTCGAGTCGAAAGTTTTTGTTTCGCTGCTGGCAGTGGGAGTTATGATTACTCGCGGGTACTTCGATAAAAGAGCCGAAATAATGGATGCGCGGTCGAGGAACGTTCCAGTGAACTCGAGATCGAGCGTCCGTTTCGCGATAACGACAATGATTTTCGTCGGGCGCGGGTTAAGCAAGCGATAAAATATCGTTGCCCATCAATTCGTCCGTTTTCATTGCCTCTATTTTTCACCGTTGTAATCCGTCAATAAATCCTGAAACAAGATAAACTGCCACCACGCTCCGTCGCAAAAATAGCAGCATCGTTACACGGTATCCGCGCTGAAAACGAGTAAGAAATGGCAGGGAAGGGAGAAAAAGGGAAAGATCTAGGAATCGGAAAATTATTTGCCTAGGACATGTCTGTTCCTCTTACTTGTCAATTCCTCGCGAAATTTTTCAGTTCACTCTGCGTAGTGTTAGGTTAACGGGTTCTCAGACGCATCTTAACCCTTTGACTGCCGTCACCTTGTTTCTCTCAAGACGCCAGGGGCGTACTTTTATTATTCAAAGCATATAATGGCAAAATACTAATAAATTGGCGATATAAGACATCTTTTTGGCAGTCACGCGTGATCACCGTGGCGCCGTGGCGGTTATATTCAAAATGCACTAACTGTCAATTTTCATTCAATTTTCATTTAAATTTTACAATTGTAAGCAGTTGAAGCGCCTGGTCAGCAATGACCACCGTGACCTCGCAGGAGAAACCATGACCGGTCGTATATGACCAACGTGGCAGTCAAAGTGTTAACATCTTCGTGGTTCGCCAAGGCGAACATGTTTTTCTCTCCCGCGAGTCGTATTTGTTCAATTTACTCGATTATCGTATCAGGTATTCGCGGTTGACACGGTTGTCGAGAAAATTGCAGAGGCACGATAATTTGGCGGATAAAATTCTTTCGGGGTCGACCGTGGCGTGTCTGTGATACAGCCGCGCGAATCTCGGTTCGGTCTATTTCTGATTTACTCGACACGGTTTACGAAATCCACGCTGAAAACGCTTCGCGGTTGTATTTCGGGCGTCGTCCGGTTTATTTAACGCGAAGAAAACGCAAACACCGTGCGCGAGTAGGCGCTGTAACAAACGAGCGTACAATCCCGTCCTCTTCGAGATGGCTCACTCGGTACGTCTCGCGATCAGTTAAGAATCCGTCTAACCTTACAGCTCGCAACGATTTACGAGAAACGAGCAAATTTACTCATTTGCTCCGATCATCGTGGAATTTCCGTTGTCCGGGCTGATCCGTTGTGTAACGTCGGAGATGGACGAGATCTCGCCTGAGAAGCAGCGTCGCTAAACGATGTCAATGGAACTCGACCCGCGAGGATCGTTGACGATCGACCGATCCGCGAGCGCTCTTCTCCGAGTGTCATGATTTCATTTGGCCGCGGAATGCGCCGCGATCGGTTCATAGAGTTCGTGTCAGGGTCCGTGCGTGGCTCGAGGATGCGTGGTCGGGTGTCCGCCGATCGAGCGCCATCGAGTTCGAGGTCTCGAGGTCGAGTTTCGTCGGTCGATCGTTTAAGAATGGCTTGGTGACCGACGCCGGTCTGCCCGCGCTTCTATTTCCGTCTGCGACGTGTCGTGCGTTGACTTCGTTTGAATAATTCGCGTTGATCGCGACCGGAACCGACGCGAATCGCTCCTACGACGTGCGTCCACTCGAACGTTGGGGTTGGCTCCGTTGCAGAAGTGGAAGTCGAGATTTCGCGAACGATCGACGGTATGACTGGCGTATTTTTGGCGCAGGCTGACCCGGTAGAGATGGACATCGAAGCTTCGCGAACGATTCGAGCTGGCCGCGCGCGAGGTAGATCGGTTTTAGGTTAGGCGAGTCGTCGAGGAACGATAGGGGCGTTACGAAGGTGTTGGCGTTAACCCCTTGGCCACTGTGTGCTCATATACGCGCTCAGAAATTTTGCCTTTGCGTCACGGAAGGCGCATATAAGCGCTCAACACAGTTTGCTTTTTCTGACAGGAAGGGCGCATCACTGCCCAAAATTTTGCCGTTCTCGGCGGACATTGTAAATGAATTCTTTATGGTACGACCGGTGCTTTTCAAAGTCGGCCGTAGTCAAAGGGTTAATTCTTCGTCACCTTTCCACCTGACGCGTTCTCAACTGGGTTATACGCGCGTTTACTTTCTTACTTTGCCCTTAGTCTCGCATTCGAACGAGTACTCGGCGAAAGTCACACAGGGGGTGAATGAGATCACTCGAAACAATCGGAACACTCGACTACGGGATCATTTTCCCAGCGTGCGTTACTCGAGCCTGAAAAGACGTCGGGAGTGGTGTACGATGATCGTCATTGATGATTCAAAGATCTTTTTTCCCTCACCGGTTTG